GACCAAGCAATATATAATTAGACATTTTAGCACAAAAGGGAGGAGTACTACCAGAAACAATGATTGTGCTGGGGACTCTCCGCCTCCTTTCCCGTCATCGGCTGAATGCGCATGCGCGGCATGAACTGCGCGCGCATTCAGCCGGTCTCATAGGAAAGCATTCTCAATGATTTCCTATGGACGCTAGCGTCCTTTCACAGTGAGAAGCGCGGAATCGCCTTTAGCGGCTGTCAATGAGACAGCCACGAGAGGCTGGATTAACCCATTTGTAAACATAGCAGTTTCTCTGACACTGCTGTGTTTACAGCAGGCAGGGTTAATCCTAGGTGGACCTGGCACCCAGACCACTTCATTAAGCTGAAGTGGTCTGGGTGCATATAGTGGTAATCTACATTTGAGAGAAAATTATACATCTCATGAAAACTGTGAGCACAAGTTATGGGTGATTTTCAGAGTTTTCAAGAATGAATGTAATTTATATTTCCCCTTTAAGACATCATGAGATTTATAAATTGGCACTGCTGATTGTCTACCCTGTGGCCGCTCCTTCACTGCCCATTTTTCTCCGGATTCTTTTGTTCTCACTTCACATATATTTATTCTGTATTAGATTTCCTGCATTATGTCTTCATTCATATTTGCCTTTTATTGTGTTGTTTGTAGATCTTCTGTATGTTCTTGGAAGCCAGACTTGTCCACTTGATGCCCTGTATAAATTCAACATAACGCAGATTGTACCTTAACTCACACTTCTTCTAACTTCATTTTTGGATTCTATAGATTTTGTTTTTTGTTTTTTTTGGGGCTTAGTGGACCTCTCTTTATGAAAACCAAACACCTCCCTCTTGTGATATTTTCAAATCACAATTTCTCCTTTCCAGAGGTCTGTTACCAAAACCATTTATTATTTCACCATATATAATGGACTTATTTCTTTATTGTTCTAATGTTGTTGTTTTCATGTTTTGTTTCCAAGCATGGTAGAAGTGGTATTTTAAAACAGTATACTTTGGTATTGCATTATCTATCTGCTCTGCATTTCGATGGGCAAATGGTTCAGTGAGCATAGAATTGTGGACACCATTAATGTTCAATTTACATTTGTCTCGCAGCCCTATGTTTGATTTTCCAAACATTTCTGTTCAGTTTTACTAGTTATTCACCATACCTCTACATTGTAAGCTTCTTATCGTCTAACATTATCAGCTAGTAATTCATGTGAATACATGGGTGTCTCTGTTATGTACTTGACTGTGTATTCTTTGTAATGACCGGTGTAGGAGCTGGCTGGACTTTTGCGAATTCCCAGGAAATGCAAAGGAAATAATCTTAACAATACACGGTAAAGATTGCAATTTATCTTAAGCGAAAGGTATTCTTAGGGCAGATCTGAGATAAATAGCTAGAGCTAAATGTTTTACAGTGACACTGCATGTAAGAAGGATTGGTGCTCCCGGGATATCTGCAACCCCTCTCGGTTTCTGGCAGTCCAACTGTGACGCGAGGATCCCTGTCTATGACACCAAATACCCTTTTTAATTCAAATAGTTTTTTGCTGTATTACACAGTGATTTGCTGCTGAAAGGCATTCGATTTCAAAAGTCGAGTGCCGAGAAAAGGTAGTCATTAAAATTATGAGGACGTGGACTGTCAACTTGATCAAGACAAAATTAACGACATTATTGGTGTAGACCCACTAATCTCACTGACCATATATTTATAATATGCTATTGTATCAACTGAACCTCTTACACTTATGTTTGGAACACGTTAATCTGTACTTGTGAAACCAGATGTTTAAAACCATTTAGTTAAAAAAAAAAAAAAAAAATCAAGTTAAAGAAAAAAATTATTTATGAGGGCCCCATCCTTTATTTACTTCCTACTAGCAGGCATTGTCTCCCCACATGACAGTTTTTGCAGTGTTCTGTTGACTTATAGGAACAGTGGACAAAGAAGTATATTTCTATACATAGTTGGAAAATTAAAGTATATAATTTTATGTCTAATGTTCGTAGGCATAAGCACCATAGAGGGGGATGGGTTGTGGCACTCACAATTAATATTAAAACCGTCTAAATGGTTCCATGCCGAATAGAAAGACTGCGTCAGGGGACTGCCGATACTATAACAACTTAAATTGGGTAAAACAGTTAGAGTGCCGACAGTGTCCTTTTAAAAGGATGAATGCACTATAAAGCCACAATTCCTACAATTCTTTGCTGGCCTTCCAAACGTTCACATGACTGTTTTATACACCATGAGGAAAGGGGCCGTTTGGTCCTTATAAGCACACCAAGTGACATCAGTTTGTTTGTTCCCTAACCCGTGTACATGCTTTCTGTTGCTACCACATGGCTATGTTATATTTAAAATAAATGCAGTGAAATAGCTCTCACAAAATACGAGCATCTGCACTGACCATATTTTTATTTCATTAAGTAATCATGTTATTTTGAGAATGTGTGGTTTATTGTAAATTGTTTCATTATATATTATCTGATGTGCAGATATTGAATTGGGCAACATTAAGTCATTGTGTGTTTTGTTTGTCAAAGATGCGGTGGGGTGAAAACGTTGCTGTGTGTTTGCCCCAATAAAGCTACTGTTATGCAATCTATGTGAGTGCCTTGACCATCAATTTATTTTACATATTCAAATGGGGTCTGGCCTGCCCCTGATCCGGTGCACCGTGGTAGCCTGGTGCACTTACTTCAACTTACTATAATTCGATGGTTTATGACAATAACTGATAAATCAAATGCTGATTGACTTAAATTTGCCAAAGAATAGTCAACTCAATAGGCCATTTAAAGGGACACTATAGTCACCTGAACAACTTTAGCTTAATGAAGCAGTTTTGGTGTATAGAACATGCCCCTGCAGCCTCACTGCTCAATCCTCTGCCATTTAGGAGTTAAATCCCTTTGTTTATGAACCCTAGTCACACCTCCCTGCATGTGACTTGCACAGCCTTCCATAAACACTTCCTGTAAACAGAGCCCTATTTAGGCTTTCTTTATTGCAAGTTCTGTTTAATTAAGATTTTCTTATCCCCTGCTATGTTAATAGCTTGCTAGACCCTGCAAGAGCCTCCTGTATGTGATTAAAGTTCAATTTAGAGATTGAGATACAATTATTTAAGGTAAATTACATCTGTTTGAAAGTGAAACCAGGTTTTTTTTTATGCAGGCTCTTTCAATCATAGCCAGGGGAGGTGTGGCTAGGGCTGCTTAAACAGAAACAAAGTGATTTAACTCCTAAATGACAGTGAATTGAGCAGTGAAATTGCAGGGGAATGATCTATACACTAAAACTGCCTTATTTAGCTAAAGTAATTTAGGTGACTATAGTGTTCCTTTAATGCACATTAGTAAAATTACACTATATCAGGGTTATCTAGCAGGTTGTTAGAATATTTGAGCTAGACAACCACATAAACAAATCAAGTATAAAGCAGTCCATAGCACTTCATATTTGGAGAACTGCCACTACTTTTAAACTGGAAGAAATATTCAGTTTGTAAGATAACACCACTAAGAAGCCATATTTTATTATACCTGCCTCCATATCACAAGGTAATGATTGAATTAGTTATTGCCACATTTGGGACATTACCATTTCCCCCCTGGGCATCTCCAGATTCTACAGCTTAAAGGAACACTAGAATGGTAGGAATACAAATTTGTTTTCCGAAAACTATATAGTTTTACCCTACCTATTTTTCTATACTCCCCCTCCCCTCTTGTAAGAGTTTAAAAGGTGAGTTTTACTTACCTTTACTCCCTGACCTCGCTAGTTTATATGTGCCCTGCCTCCCAGACTGAGAATATTAAGATTGAATCCAGTGCTTTCCCATTGGGAAGCATTGGTATGCTCGTCAAATTGCAGTTCTGTGCCAATGCTATGCTCTCTAGCTGCAGTACTTGCTTAAGAACCTAGTCTAACTCGGTTATCACAGGGGAAGTGCCTCTAGTGGCGGTAAGGTAGATAGCCACTAGTAGTGTGTTTTAAACGGCAGTGTTTTAAATTACAGGGTTAAACCTAAAGAGCCACTGCACCCAGACCACCTCAATGAGGTGATGTGGTCTGGGTGCCTTTTAATGGTTGGTTTCCAAGGTAATGCCGTCTTCTCCAGTTTGGGATTGATGTTTAAATCCACCTACTTCCTGCATGACATCACCCTCATATTTTGGATGACCTACACCATTTTTGGGCTACACCTTTTCACAACTTTTGTTAATTTCTGATCTATTTTTGGGGTATCATGCACTTCCTCTGACAAATGTGAGTGATAATGAAGATCTCTGACCCACCAATATTCAAAGGAATGAAAATGGGAAAACAAGTTGTTCCTAGTTTCCCCAGGACTAGTAAGTTACTTATCAATTTCTATAGTGATTTTCTATTATATTGCACATTTTTCACTGGCATAATAAGGCACTTAACACTCCTAGGACCAGCAATAGTCTCTAAGTTTTAGTTTAATATCATGTCATGATATAAAGGGAATTGCCTACCTCTGCCTCTAAAGGGGTTAAACATTTTTAACCTGCTTGCCAGGGAATGCTGAATTCCTATACAACACATTTAACGTACCATTTTCCTCCAGACACCTCATTAGTCTCTTGAATCTTGAGCCAGTTAGGACACAAGTTGGATATTTAAAACACAAACCTTAAGAAGTAGCAACCATTGCCATTTATGATTATTATGGAATTAGAATAGTCTCTTAATTAGAACCAATCGGTACTAGTGGAAATGTTATTTCATACACTGAACTATTTGAAGAAAATATAAACTCTGTAAATATAAAGTCATTTTTATGGTCTACTAATGTGTATTTTCTTTTCTCGAGACATGATATGCCTACACAGGCATGTAACAAGAAATTAAGCAGTACAATCAAAGTAATTGTGCATAACCAATACACTAATTGAAATCTGACATAAAACCTTTCCAGTCTGCGTAAGTAGTCTCTTTTTTTATATAATATAAATTTATACACCACTGCAATATTTAGCTTCGGAATGCTCTGTACTCTCTGGAATGACAGACTTCACGGAGGTTTGGCAGAACCGATTGAAAGCGGACATGCTCCTTTTATCTTTGACGTAGAGCCGAAGCTTGTCTCTAAATGTCTCCCCGAGAAAGCTGTAAATAAGCGGGTTTAGGCAGCTGTTGGAGAATGCAGCCAAGTTTACAATGTGTTCCGTGAGCGGATGGCTGTGTCTAAACGACGGATTGTCCGACTGATCGTCTTTGTTACCTTGCAGAAGGCCAATGCTGATGAAGACGTTTTCTGGAAGCCAACAAATAAAAAACACCAGAACCACCACCACAATCATCCGCAAGGCTTTTTGCCTCCTGGGTCTTAGACTCCTATGTTTGTGCGCCCTTATTAAAACGCGGATGATTAAGGAGTAACAAAGGCCAATAATAGCAAATGGAATGATAAATCCCAAGGTGATCTCCAGCCATTGTATCGCCCTGACGTCTGCAAAGCAGAATTGTACATCATCTGTGTGCTGCACCTGAACAGCCGTGAAAGGCAATAGTGTGGCGGAAATAGATGCCATCCATATGAGGACACAGCTTAACCGTGCATGCTCCTTTGTCCGAAATAGATTAGATTTCATTACTTTAGCCAGTGCAATGTATCTGTCAAAGCTCATCCATGTGAGGAAGAAGATGCTGCTGTACATATTGATCTGCAGGAATAGCGACATGAAGGTGCATAGTATTGTTATATCATAATATTTCTCATTAAGGTTGAACACTTCTATGAGAGAATCCGCCACCAAGATCAGGTCCGCAGCAGCCAAGTTGATAAAATACAAGTCAGGGATTGTCATCTTTTCACGGAACCTGATGTTGACTACTAGAATCATGATGTTTCCTAAAAATCCGATTGGGAAAAGCAATATTGTATAGAGGCAGGATAAGAAAAGACTTATGAAATAGTGATTGTTTTTGTCCGAAACTCCGCCAGCTGTCACAGTTGCATTACAAGCACTGGATTCGTTCAGGTCCACAGCCGAGAGGTTACAAGTCATTGATGGGAATCCTGTGCTGTATATGTCCATTTTGAGAATTACGGAGTTGTACGATCTAAACGTTTAGACCTGTTTTATGTGATGATGTATTTTATGCACAGTTTATCCTCGTAGGAAGTTTTCCATGATTGTGTATTGTGAGATTTGGGGTGGTGTTTTCGATTGGTCATGGAATCCGGTATAGCAGGCAACCATTTCAGACGTAACGCCCTCGATCGAGTGATCTGGCGTGTAGGCTGGTCTGTGAAACGTGAAGAAGTGATAGCTTTCTTGCTCAGTTGCATTTCCTTAAATTTGGTTCAGGTACTGGTTTCAGTGTGAAAGTTGAGAACCTTGCGGTTGTAATTCCAGATTCATTCCTTTACCAATTGGTCATAATCATCCATTTTCCATGCTAGAGACGAGAAGATAAAATATTGTTTTGTGTTATTTGTATGTTGCATTATTTTGCTATAATCTGATTCTACATAATATTTCATTATAAATCATTATTGCATGCATGTCAGTAAATGGCTATTTTAGTTTGTACTTGGTTTACTATATGAAACCAGTCTCATTGGCCTTCTGGAAATAACTGGCGTTATATTATATGGTTAAATTCTACCATCCGAACGGCCATTAAAAGATGAATTCAGCACAGTAGAAAAACAAAGACAATAGGCAATTACTTTTTATAAACAGCATCTTCCCAAGCAAACCCAGCCAATGATGTGAAAAGCTTTGAGGAAACAATATATCCTAAAAATAATGCTGTAGATGCTGACATGCTATTTAAAAGGACACTATAGTCACCAGAACAACTACAGCTTAATGCAGTTGTTCTGGTGAGTATAATAGGCATTTTCATGCAAACACTACCTTTTCAGAGAATAGGCAGTGTTTACATTGCCATTAGGGACACCTCCAAGTGGGCCACTCCTCAGATGGCCACTGGAGGTGCTTCCTGGGGCAGTGCTGCACGGTAGGCCGCAGTCCCGTTCAGCGCCTCCACGCTCTGCATGGGGACACTAAATTTTCCTCTTAGAGATGCATTGATTCAATGCATCTCTATGAAGAGGTGCTTATTGCCCCAAACGGCGTTTGGCCCTGCCCCTTGCCAATTTTAGCCAATCCAATGCTTTCCCCAGGGGTTAAAAATCGGCCATTCCAATTATGTCACCAAGGGGGTGGGGCCATTGCCGGCAGACCTGCACGACACTGGAAATAAGGTGCGTTTTAAGGGGGCTAAGAGGGGGCAAACCATCTAAATGGTGGGTTTTGCGCTATAGGGTCAGGTATACATGTTTGTGTTCCTGACCCTATAGTGTTCCTTTAAGGTATTGAAGTTTTAATTTTATCATCGGTGAGAAACAGAGATTTGGTCTTCTATTTTCCGTATATGTTTAGAGTTCCGAGAATGCAAGTACACAGTGTATCATTAATGTCAAGGCCGACACTGCACACTCTGCACTGAATTCATAGTCCCTGCTACACGTTCTGCAATAACGTCAACGTCTTTGCTGCACTCTTTGCAGTAATGTCAAGGTCTCTGTAACGCTTTGCAATTACTTCAAGGTCCCTGCTGCTCTCTGCAAAAACACAAAGGTTTCTACTGAGCCCTTAATAGAGTTACACCAATATTTGTATTTCTTACTTCATTACCTTATTTAAAATACTCTCCCTGCTACACTAAACCCTTTAAGGATACATGTCCTGCTGGCCTTTCACTTCTGAAGCTGTGTCCTTAAGGGTTTAAAGGGGAACAGTAATTTCTCTAGAATTAAATAGTGCCTTGAAAACACCTATAACTTGTGTTAAAATGATTTTATGATCGGATTTGCAGGGTTGTTATTGTTTTTAAAAAAACCTTGGAAGTGACCATTCCCCTTTAAAGGGACAGTGTAGGCACCCAGACCACTTCAGCTCATTGAAGTGGTCTTGGTGCAATGTACCTTTTGCCCCTATTCCTGTGATGTACAACATTGCAGTTCCATAGAAACAGCAATGTTTACATTGCAGCTCTAAGTCTGCCCTCAGTGGCCGTATCTCAGACAGCCACAAGAAGGCTTCCTGAATTGAAACGGACTTTTAGTCTGGTATCTAACGTTGGACGTCCTCACGCTCTGCATGCTGATATCCAGTGTCAGATTTTTCCCCATGGGGAGGTCTAATGCGCACGCGGCATATCCCATCCATGTGCATTAGACCCCGCTTGTCACGGGACGGAGGAGGGGGTGGAGCTTTGACCCAGCGCCGACGTTTTAAACCCTTTTTTTACCGGGGAGGGGTTAGGCAGAGAGAGCGATAGTGCCCGGAATACAGCTTTGTATTCCTGCCACTACAGTATCCCTTTCATACAATTGTTTATTTTTTTGCTTTTTATTCACTACTGAACTCTTTGAAATTCCCACGTTTAAGCACTGAAATTATTGTTTGCTCCTATCTTTAGCTAGCTGACTAATTTCAAGGTCTTGTTTCCAGCTATTGCATTCATTACGCAATTTTACTTGCTATATGTCGCAGTTTGGGGATTCGGTGCTGACTGTCACAACTATAGATATACATGCGTGTCACTAATGTTCTCCAAACACCAAAAACGTGGGTTTGCATTAATAAGAAAAAAAAATTATGCTCTCCAAATGTTACTAGATAAACGTGGAAATAAAATCGATGCATGATTATTCACTAAAGTGATCATTTGAAAAGAATTCAAAGTGATTTCCACATTCAAGGTAGAAATGGCTAAACTGAAAAAATGCTGTTAGTCAGCTGTGCTTTCAGTTTGGCTACTTTGGCCTTGAATTTTAAATTCACCCTGAATTCATTTTAATTCTCACTTTAGTGGATAACCCTGTTATTTTCTTTTTCAAACATTCCATCAATATCATGAGTGTGACAAACGCTCTTTCACATGTACGTTTGCCACGAACTCCTGGAGGAGTGTAGAAGCCAGCCTCCTGCCCACTGACTATGGTCCAGGTCTGGGACACCATTTGGGAGTAACTCTGCCAGCCGCCATTAACAGCTTTCCCTGGGTCCCCCTGGGTTGGCACTTTCTCTTCATGTGAATGGAACCGGACGCTGGCTCTCTGGCGGCCGTTCGCATGAACCAAACCCACGAATAGTCCCAGCGGTACTTAGCCGCGACCGCCATACAACTAATTTCGGCATGAGGACTTCGTGGGTTCCTGGTCACCTCAGCGGGACTTAGCCGCAAATGTTAAGGTGCCTGAGACTAAGGGGAACAAGTGCTAAGAGGTAGCCGGAGCACCCCGTATTGCGGCTGCAGGAGCTCCTGAAAGTTGACCGGCAAAAGCACCAAACGCCCTGGAACTATTTGGGGCATAGGACCACATGGCTGGTCAGAACTTTAACACTGTGGCGTTTCCTTTACACTGCATGGATCTGAGTGCTATTTAGAGAACTTGGCCTCTCAGATCAGGGCTATTTAATGATGTATTATTTGTGGCGCTATTGTATATCTTTACGATGTTTTGGGGTATTTTTATGTTTGTCTCTCTGTTCCTGGGAGATAATTAGCTTATTGGTCTTTAATGCAATTATCTCACATGCCCAGAGATTCCTGGGAGGGGCTTTTGCTGAATATAATGGAGACCCCCTGCTGGGATCTGTGCATAAAAGTCAGAGTTTGGCTTATTAAAATCAGTTTCACTCCCAGAAATATGTGTCGTCTAGTTACTGGGAGGGGAAAGGGCTAATCACTGTTCAGCACCTTGTTCCAGCTCATGGAGTACTATGCGGGGAAAGTCCTTATAAGGACTAGAGCTCAAAGGACTGTGTGTCGTCCAGTCCCTGGGAGTGAATAGAGATAGTCTCCTATCCTGCTCCAGGACAGAGAGGCTTCAGGAGGGCCCCAGTCAAGACACGGCGACTGGGGCAGAAGTGCTGAGGTTTTCCCCTGTTCCAGCTACGAAGCCGACCTTGGCGGAGGTACCCAGCCGGGGTACAGGGAGCTCCGCTACAATGAGCCTTTCAGATAGATCTACATTTTTATTTTAGGCCTTGTTGCTGTGGTTTTCATCTGGGAGACTTTTCAGAAGCAGATTGTTAATTTTTTAATGTGAAATCAATGCATATGCTTAGTTTAGTTTATTGATCTTTCCTTTAGTTATTTACCTTGCAATACTAAGCATTTTCCCCCCTGTGTTTCTTCCCCTCTCTCTGGCAAAGCAAACTCATTATTTAATCTTTCACCCTAAAGGTGATTGTCTGCGGTCAGAGTTCCGGTGGTTTTGATGACAGTACAGTATATGAGCTGTCACAATATCTCTCTCTTTTTTGATTCTCTATCATTGCACAAACATTGTGCAGAATGCATCTTTTGTTCTTTACCCATCCAAAATATTCAGGAAAAATAACCTAGCTTGCTGATCAAAGGCACTTCATCGCGAGATGCTTGTAGCCCACACTTGTGCTATTAATGCTTTCTCAGGTTTGTTTGTTCATAGTAGTATCCTCAATAAACACTAGATACCAGGTGTTGCATTGTAATGTTGTGTATAATTCCGTGTAGCCATAGCTTAGTATGTATTGCATGTGTTTACAGATGTAAGAATCTGCATGTAAATCTAAATTGGCTAATGGTTGTACATCTTAAAATATATTGAAATTCCATGTTTATTTGTTAATTGTTTTTAGTTTAGAATTTTCTACACCTGTATTGCTCTTCTAAATGCATTGAGGTATTTGGATACTTTTATTAACTATCTTTCTAGCTTTATTTGTGCATCCAGTGAACTCGGTCCTTGCTTCATTACATCCTGTTATAACTGTAGCAATCTCAGGACCAGATTTGGCATCTGCCTATAGTCACCTGTCCTGTAGTCGGAGCCTATTTCCGCAACTTATAATGTGCTTTTTGGAGCTTATGTAGGCTGGGGAGGCAAAATAAGTACCAGAAGACTTGGCCATTGTCCTCTGTAGTCAAGTTAGCCATTTATGCTTGACAGCAGAGCTGTAGGAACAGTTATAGAAAGTGTAAGGCTGATGTATGTGAGGCTGAACAGGAAGCGGAAGGGATCACTTCCCATCTGTCCACTAACAGCCTCTCACACTGGAAATGCCTTGCAGGAGGAGCAGTAAGTTGTCTGAGTGGGGCACGTCTTCACTTTAATCCTCTGTTTGACTGCTCGTAAACACTAAATACCGATGTACCCCATTACTAAATGTAATCCACTCTAACTCTAAACCCAACTCCTCTTAAGCCACAGCTATAACCCCTCTCGAGCCTTTAATCCCTTTTAACACTAAAACTCTGTTTAAAGGATTACTGTGGTGCCTGGAAAACACTAGTTTTCCTGGCACTATAGTTTTAATAGGTTCCCCCCCCCCTCATAGCCCCACTCCCGCCGGGAGGAAGGGGTTTAACACTTACCTTTCACCAGCCCTCGGCGCTGAGACTCTCCTCCCTCTTCTTCCATCATCGGCTGAATGCGCATGCGCGGCAAGAGCCGCGCACGCATTCAGTCAGTCCATAGGAAAGCATTACTCAATGCTTTCCTATGGACGCTGGTGTCTTCTCTCTGTGAAAATCACAGTGAGAAGCGCCTCTAGCGGCTGTCAACGGCTGTCTATGTAAACATAGCAGTTTCTTACAGGCACATTCGGCAGAAAAGGTTCCTATACGTGGTATAAGAGATAAAAACTCCTAAAGGCACTATGGGCAGTAAAATCTCCTACACACGGTATAGGTGGTAAAAACTTGTGTAGGTGCTATGGGCAGTAAAGGCGATAAAGTTCCATGACTGGGGGCCTTGCGTGATCTAATGATATACTTTTCATTGAGAAGCTTGTCACTGGACCGTTTTACCAGACCTAGAGCGCATGCGTGCAATCTGAGCCAGTGAGGGGAGGGCAGAGGAAGGAAGGAATTTGTGAAAACAATCTATATTGGCTCTAATGGAGTGAGGTGGAGGGACCGCAGACACTGAGGGAGGAGTGAGCCAAGCTTCCCCCTGCATGGGATGAATATCCTTACATCTGTCGCCAGTGTGCTGCGCATGCTGACGGCAGACCAAATATACACAGAATTAACATTTGTTAGCCCAACGCTCAAAAGGTAATCTATCTCAGCATGTGCAGGGTTTCAGCAGAAATGCTGAACATTCAGACTCTTACCACCATGACCACTTCATATATTACTGATCACATGGTGGTTAGAGTAACCCTTTAATCATCCTGCCATAGTGCATATGTCCCCTTTTTTCCTGATTAGGTACTCATTTTATAGGTTTTAGGTGTTACTGGTGTACTTAAAAGGACTCTCCAATGGCCAAATACAAAATTAATACAAACCACTGTTTTGTAGATATACCCCAAATGAAAGCATTCATGCATTAAGCTATGGTATGTCTAAAGACAGCGTGTAAATGTTGCAGTTCTCTTGTCTGTTGCCTTTGCACGTCCTCCCCATCTAAGCGCGCCTAGACTTTTTGTTATTGTCCAATCACAGACTTCCCAATGCAGCTCAATGAGAGGTAGGTGCTATGGGCAATCGCTCCTTCTTGAATTTAGCTCAACTGAGCTAAGCAAACCAGGAAGTAACAGGACCTGTTCTCTGCTTGAAAGCCAAGAGGGTGTAACCGGGTTCATTTATAAAAGGGGCAATTTCTATTGAAATATGCACTTTTTGCCAAAAATGGAAAAGGGTACACACTCTTCACACACAAAGCTTTTCAGCAAGCTAAAGTATTTTAGGAGTCTGGCATGTCCCTTTTATAGCTACAACATGGTTAAGGAAAATTGTGTTTTTCTCAGTGAGATTATCAAAGTGGTTGGTTACGTGTTACCACACATGTCGCTTAAATATGTATTTAATGGCAGCTAAGTTGGAATGTATTCACAGTAAATATCTTAAGATGGTTGAACAATTTGAAGCACACTTTGACAGAACACATGAACAGTTTGTTTGGCTCTGACGTGCCCATTTCAAGTTAAAATTTCTGTCAGGATGATGAATTTCCATACAAAAAGCAGCCAGGGAAACACAGTTCAACATTAACCATATTAAGAAATCATCATTCCAAGTGCCAAGAATGTATGTAGCTGTCTTATGCTGAATGTCTACAAGTATCTAGATTGTATAGAGCAGGTGTATCTAGGGTCTGACGATCCTATCAGGAGGGGGGTTGAGGTTCAGTGTTGGAGCTGAAAGCTATTTCTGCATTGTGTGTAAACCCCCTGCAGCACTGGTAATCACTGCAAATGGTAGTATGACTGTAATGAGTCTAAAAAAAGAGTCTGAAAGACAGAGGACTTGGTAAATACAGGAATGCAACTGTGGACTAGCTATCTTAATTCCTGCTGCAGGGAAAACCATAAACTGCATAAGGCAAATCCCACAAATATGGGTGAAAAGAAATCAAACGAAGGATTAGCGCTAAATAAATTCGACAACACATTATTCGAAAGGCAGCAGGTATTCCAAATGGGGGACCCCCTCAGTACCCCAAAAATGGAACAAACAACAAAACACAACCGGCTGCGCCTGATGACATACAGGTAATAAAATATGATTATAAAATTCTGAAAAAGTCCAAGGGACACAGTCAGGTACTCCTGTAATTCAGTTGAAAAATCCTATTAGATTATTTAACAAGTAGATTATTTAACTACTTGTTTTTATTGGTAAAATTAAAGGGACACTCCAGACCTCTAATGCACTTTAACTTTTTGAAAAGCTTTGTGTGTGAAGAGTGTGTCCTATTTTTTTCATTTTGAAAAAAGTGCTGATTTCATTAGAATTTAACACTTTGTAAAATTGTGTTGGTTACACCCCCCTGGCTTTCAAGCAGACAACTGGTTTTCTTAATTCCTGGTCTGGTTAGCTCAGTGGAGCTAAACACAAGTGGCAGCAATTGCCCAGAGCACCTGCCTTGCAAAGACTGAGCTGCATTGAGAAGTCTGTGATTGGACAGCCACAGAAAGTCTGGGCTGGGTTAGAAGGGGGAGGGCTTGCTAAGACTGCAGACATGGGGTATGTCCACTGAACGGTGACTTTATTGATTTTGTAATTTGGCACTAGAGTGTCCCTTTAAGTATTTTTTAGTTCATTTTATTTTTTGATTTGTCCACATGCTATTTTTTTTCCCCCTTCTATTTTTACCGTTTGTTTCTGATTTTGATGTGAAAGTTCTCCCATTGTGAGTCCCATTGTGAATACTCATCGCATAGCGACATTTGACTCCATGAAACTACGCTGGACGTCCTCACGCTCTTCAAGAGGACATCCAGCATCAGAGAAAACCACATAGGAAAGTATTCAGGCAAAGTTTTACTATGGGAAAGGCCTAATGTGCTTGCAGCACTTGCCGTGCACGCGCATTAGGTCCCTTCAATCGGATGATGTCAGAGGAGGCGGACCACGGTGCTGGAATATAAGTGAATAAAGGGTTTAGTTTGCTGGGAGGGGGCTGCAGGGGCAGTGGAACACAGTGTTAGTAATACATCTTTGTATTCCTAACACTAAAGTGTTCCTTTAATATGTGAGTGGACACTTCTACACCTTTATTTTGTATGTCCTCCATGTACCAATATATACATCAATAATCATTCTCCCCTCTATTCTCTACTATGTACCCTTGGCAATACCTCCAAGCTATATAATAATCATGATCACATGGCAACCAGTGTAAAATGTTGTATACGGAATCCCTCTGACAGTTTCACAATTTTATAATCCTGTTTTATTACCTGTATATCTTTAGGTACAGCCCGTTGTACTTTGTTGTTTGTAAATCCCACAAATAAAGTCATAAATAGGTAATTTTTCCCTATCAATGTTCATTGTGCTACTGATGTCTGACAGTATATCTTGAGAGTAAAATGAAAAAAAAAAAGAGATCTGGTTAAATACACCAAAACCTTTTCAGGGCCATTCGAGGTGATTAGTGGAAAAGTGTTTGGATAGACTTGACAATCTTAGACAAATAAGCATTTAGCTGGGGAACTCCATAATAGGGGCTAGCTATCCTGCATAACTTGTAATTCCGTTGTCGTTTGTCCATAATTCTCATTTTAGTTACGAACTATTAGTGTAATTAGATATCCTATGGCACTCATTTTTTGCCAGTGGTCTATAATTTTTATTAGATTATTATTCCTGTATGATGAATATTTATTGATTTATATATTCAATTTCTTTTTTAACAGTAAATAATTCAAGGAAAAAAATTGGAAACATAATTTCACTTATTTTTGTACATAAGAGAATTCCTAAAACCTTATTTCTTAGGCAGTTATAGGAATGCCATTGTGAACTTTTTCTTTTGCTAAATCAGGAATTCTAGCAGAAAATTAACAAAATAATATTTTTTCTAATTTCACTATTTTGACATGGTATTTTCACTAGCTAATGTTAATCAATACAATGAAAAATCCCAAATAATTCCAATTCACCTTGTTAAATTAGAGTGAATTTAATCTATGTAGCAAGGAAACTGCCTTGCTGAAATAGAAGTTCCTTGTAGATATCACTTGAATGGCATTTCCTTCATCGCACATGAATATAAAAAGAAACTAAATTCTTTTGTCTCTGTAAAGCCCACTAATTACCGGTAGTTTACAAGGCATAAATGTCACTTTATATAATATCCTGAATTCAAAATGCTGAAATAATGAATTGATTAAATGATTATGCGTGATGTTAAATGAATATGCCCTTTATCTCCCCGACGTTAATAACATTTATTCCAAACTCCAATTTATTCATCCTATCCATTTGTTCCATGATTAGTGTGTTCCTTAGAAGATTACATATTTTTATGTTTTCCTCTGCAATACATTGTACATAGCACTGGCTTCTAACTTTATATTAATATGCTACACAGCTCCTCAAAGGGGATCCATCAGTCATACAGTTTTCACTATCATCACAGAGCTCATGGAACCTCAAAAACATAACACAAAGCAATTAGTCGTTTATATATAATAATAAAAAATAATAATTTATATATATATGTATGTATGTATATATGCATATATTTATTATTATTTTTTTTAATTATTTTATTTGGAGAGAACAGAATGTCTGTGTAGCTATTCTCATCTAATTGTAGTTTTTCTTTTTAGTACTTTAAAAGCACTGGATCCTTATAAGATCCTCCTGTTTCGGGTTTTTATTATAGTATGTGGTGTTTCGGGACTAGGTGGTCAACATAAACCCTCTCTTGTTAAATTGCTCCTAATAGCCAGTAAAAGCACACTGATAATATTGTAGTGGTCTCTAGGAAGCAGTAAACGATCATCTGAGGGCTCATCTGCTCCAGTAAACCATGCAAATCTGCCCCTTTTTACGGAATCCCCAATGATGCTGTTATAAAAAGAATTATGATATTACCTTGTCATTGTATTTTCTTGTTCAGTGCAGGTTCGTTAACCAGCACGGTGCAGCTCCACTTGATACCACCAATGGACGTGTTACTCCTTCTCTGCTGATCTTTGCTTTATACCAAATGTTTTATACATGTCCCCTTTTTGCGTGATACAGAATTGAGGTTTAAAAAAAAAGCCCCAACAAACAAACTTGATAGGCCAGTCCGACGAGAGGAATCTATATCATAAATTGTGGGAGCAATATGCAGTTCATGCCTTATGTCCTTGGCAACAGAGCGATGCTTCATAGCTTCCCAGATCTGCTCCAATTTGTGCTTAGTTGAAGTAGCACTAGACAAGCTTCCTTTAAAGGCTAGCGTTAACCCATTCCTTGCCGTCTCAGCCTCAGTGCAACTAATAAAAGCTGCATTACCACTTCTCTTCCTGCAGTTTTGTTTATTCCTCTTTGGGATACAGTTGTGCATATTTCCCACTCTTTGTTGCTGTTTTGTTTTTGTTTTTTGTCTGGGTTTTTTTTCCCTCTTCTTAATTTATCATAGATCGCCTGTAAGCCATCATTTTCTGCAGTTTTTTGTCAATTATGTAAATAGAAAAAGGTGCATGCTGCATCAGACATATAAGAGATAGACTTAAACAATATCTAAAGGGGATTATAAAATGTGGTGGGTAGAAAGCAAAGAAGGTGGGGTGAGGATCATGTTTGGCAATTATGAAGTAAAAATAAGGCATTCAAATTGGTGTTGGCCCAGGTGGAATAGGAATAAGACAAGTTAAGAGGTAACTGTTCATGCTGAGTGCTAAAAGTTAGAGATACACTTACCTTTTTAACAGTACAGGAAATCCAAAGAATCACAATATCTCCTTAGCTCTTAAATGGTTAAATGTTACTGCATAGCTGGGACTGCCAGCAATCTGAGGGTACTACGTATTAGGACAAGTAAAACTAACCTTGCTTTGTAAGGTTTTGTATGAAGTATGCAACAGTAACAATCTGATTGAGACGTGGTCTCAGACAAATAAAAATCTAAACAACAAGACAACATTAAACCAACATTGTAAAGGGAAAACATCCATAATAGCTGCCTTTTCTGCTGTAGCTCTTCAGGAAAAATAGGACCACATCTGGTTTAGTTTGCGGTTTCATGGTTCTCTTTACCCCATGTCAGTCTGTCTTTTCATCTCTGTCGATATTTCTGCTTGTGAGTCTGACTGTTTTTGTCTCTCTCATTCCTGCCATATTAGGTCTATGAAAACTCACGGGTTAATGTCATTATTGAAAAAGCTGAAATCCATAGTTCATTATCTGTCGTTGCACTCTCATTTTATTTTGTGAAACGCAGCAATTAATTGTGATGATTGAAAAGCAGAGAATCGTTCTCTGGTGCATCCTTTAATCCTGAATTAAATTAGAATTCTTTATTGGGATAACTCTGGACCCTATAATTACCCATTTCCTCCATTCCATCTGACACTTGTTAGACTTCTATCATTTCTGCTTCCTCTTACTGTGGAAATTTCCCTCTAATCAGTTCTCCGAGTGTGTTTTTTTTAAATGTTCACTGGTGAAAGTTATCAACAAAGTGTTTCATGGGAAGTAGACACTGTGTATGATGCTACACCGTTTATACCATGCTAAACTGGGTGTACTGTTCTAATCTGTGAAATCGTTTCTTTTGTAAATGTATTTTTCGAACAATCTTTACAGTTGAACAGGTTGAAGAATGCTGCCGTTCAATATACTTTCAACACCAGGGAGATATGTGTAACTACACCCTAAGTGCAAATCAATCAATTCTTGCATTCAGAGCATTGTGGTGGTTTACAGCCTCAAATGCAAATATTGTCATTGCCATTAAGAAACACATTTCGATGAATTCTATTGATCGGCAGTAAGAAAGCGGCACTGACAGTATTCAGAAAATTAAAAGATATTTTTGCCGTTAATTTCCTGGGTGGCACAAACAGCTGTGTGTATAATTTTCACAGCAATGAAAGCGCACACATACCAATAATTTTAACAAGCAAATAATTAAAACTAAATTTCACTTGCGGCACAGATGTGTTTTAATGGCGAACTAGAATTCTATCATTTATTTATTTTTTAAATTTCAAACTCGCAGTCCTGTTTGGAATTTAAAAAAAAAAAAATAGATTTTTTTTTTGGATACAATAATGATACTTCTTTTTTTCTGTTTGTTTTTCCATCTGTTTTTTGATACAATAATGATACTTATCTTTTCATTTTATTTTAGAAGAGTATCTTTTGACGGTATCTTGTTGTCTTTTAGTGGGTTATTATGATTAGGTAGGAAAACACGCCAATGACGTGCATTGTATAAAATTATTGGACATTTATATTATTTAAGAGTTTCATTTACAGAGAACACATATGGCTTGTTACCATGCTTTGTGGGTTCAATAGAAGTGTTGTTAAAGAGGCAGTAACACTCTCCTAAGAAAGGGTGCTATAAATCAGGAACTGATTTACTTTTGTATCTCTGTAAGTTCTATGCTGTATTTTCCAGAGAAATTATGTTTTTAGTAAAAGGTGAACAGTTTCCTTCTGCACTAATTGTTGTTGAATTGCCATTACTCTGTACAGGAAGGACCGCAATGCTCACCTCCTCTCATATATTATAAAGGGTTAATGAATCGATTATTAGGGTGCCACTTGAAAATGGTTTGACAAACACAGGAGGGAGTTCAGCCATAGCCTCCTGGCAACATAACCATTTCTATAAGCTGTAGAGGTTTCTGTGTTGGAGTGTCCCTTTAATATTTTTTCCAAAATTAAATTGGTTGTCACATATATGTTAACAGCAACAAAAAAAATAATCAAAAACCATGTCTGACAGGTATGTTAAACCAGTGTATTTGTCTATTAACGCACAGCTTTGTCGTCCATTGCATTTATCCTTAGATCAAGAAGCTATTACCCTACATTTAAAAATTATATCCTTGAATATTCTGTTTTTGCAAGTATGCATCTAGTAGCTGTTTGGACATCTGTATGGACTCTAATAAAACCACTTCTTCAGGCAGAGAATTTCACATTTGCATATTTATAAGATTTGCTCCTAGACAGACTTTTCTAGTCTTTTCACGTACATAGTCCAACCTTAGCCATGGTATTATTGATCAGATATGTGTGGAACTGCATATAATTCATATTGTGGTATTTTTATTTTCACAGCCCAGTTCAGAGTTTTGTGAATGGAGGTTTTTATAGCATTCGTCCAAGCATTGACATGTACATGTGTGTAGGCTCTCTTGGAGGATGTGTGCCTGCCAAACACTCAACTTGGATGGGTCTTGGACAGCAAAGGAGAACGTTAAATTCTTCTTGTATTTCAAATTGAGATACAACAACAATCTGTACACCTTAATGTATTAAAGAGATACTTTACCTAAACAACTTTAGCTTAACGGAACAGTTGTAGTGGATCGATCATTCCCCTGCAGTCTCACTGCCCAAGTCTCTGCCATTTAGGCGTTAAATAACTTTGTTTATAAAATCATATACACACCTCTCTGCATGTGACTTGCACAGCCTTCCTAATTACCTCTGAAAAGGAACCTAGATATTCTAGATTACTTTATTTCCCAGTCTGTTTAATCTAGAATTTTTTCTCATGCTCTGTTATTAGCCTTCTAGAGCCAAAAGGATCCTTCTGTGATTAAAGTTCAATTTACAGAGAAGGAGATAAAAAACGTCTAAAGCAAGTTAGCATCTAATTAAAAATGAAACCATTTTTTTCTTGCTGGCTGTGTGAGTCACAGCCAGGGGAGATGTGGCTTGGGCTGTATGAACAGTAACAAAAGTGATATAACTCCTAAATGTCAGAGAATTGAGCAGTGAGACTGCAGGGGCATGATCTATACACCCAAACCGATTCATTAAGCCAACATTGTTTTGATGCCTGTAAATAAACAAGTTCTGCTTCTTAGAGTGTCCCTTTAAAAAGCACATGCCAATATGTGGGCACTAAAGGACACGTCTTTGTTGACATGGCACCCATTATTTGTACAGCCCAGCCACTGTAGTGCTGGCTTTTTCAAAATACAAATTTCATTATGTCTGTCAACACGTCTAAAGGTCATTTGTTGAAAAGGCATGAAAATTTAATGTGTGACCTTCGACTGTAGATTAACCAAACAATTTGTCTGACTGATATAGAAATTTTAACAATTCCCTATCTTCTACACACTGAAAAATTACAATCATTTGAATTAGGTCTAAAACCTAGATACCCAATTGTAGCAGAACTACAACTCCCATAATGCCCTGACAGCCTTAACACTGCCAGAGCATTATGGCTGTTGTAGTCCTATAACACCTTGGGATCATCCCTGCTTTAGATTGTAAGCTCTCAGTGCGGGATCTTCAAAACCTTCTATGTTTGTCTCTTCTATTGAGCCTTATAATATTTTATTCACAATAGACCCAGTGCCATGTGATCTATAACTCAATCATAATAAAAGTAAAAATAATTATACAATTTTCAAATAGGTTTATAACATGTTTTATTCATACCTAAGTGTATTTCCAGAGATCCTTACCTTTTTTCTCTACCTTGGCAAAAATGAAAAATAAACTCTTCCAAGAAAGAAAAACAAAGAAACAATTTTCCTTATTCACTAGTGGCCACATTGTAGGAACACTATAGTGTCAGTAACACAAACATGTATTCCTGACTCGATAGTGTTAATAAAATCATCTAGTCCCCCTCCCCCCCTAAATATATTTAAATCTAGTCTGCTGGTGCTGGCTCTACCCCGGATATGCCTCCTAGGCTGACATCATCAGAAGTGGTGATCTCAACCAATGACAATGCTTTACCATAGGAAATATTGGATTGGCTGAGACGGTCAATTCTGATTTTCTCAGCAAAGGAGGCAGATCAGAGGCAGAGCCATACGCCGCCCTGGCCAATCATCATCTCCTCATAGAGATGCATTGAATCAGCAGCAGCATTTGATTCCAGGATCCCGATTCCAGTAACTCGGTTCTGGAGGAGGAAGCGCCTTTAGCGGTTGTCTCAATGTCAGCTGCTAGACATGGATTTAGCCCTGCTAAAAAGCAGCAGTTTTTATAGCATGTTTAAAATGCACCCAGACCACGTTTTTGAGATGAAGTGGTCTGTGTGACTTTAGTGGTCCTTTAACTCTAAAGACTACGTCCCAAATGAGGGACATTTTGTTAAAATCTTTGAAAGAGGATGACGTTAAATCAGTCTAGGAGTTCTTTAGGGAAACCAGGATGTTTTCAAGTCTTTGGAAGTGTACTGTTTTGTTTTACAAAATC